TAATTCCTTCTTTTTCAGGCTGTATCGTGCCTTTTACCAAATTACAAATCACGGCCATAAGACGACAAAATAATGTTGTTAATTTACACATGTTTACCTTTATCAAGAGCCACAGACTTAATGAACTCTAATGTGATTCATTGATATTGAGATATTCATCATATTGCCATTTCTCATGAAAACAGAAAGCTTAGTGGACTCTGTACAAGTGGAGCTGGTTATTATTTTTTTTCCTGATCAACAACAAAGAATTTTGTTCATAACATGAAATAAAATTATCCTCCAATTAACGGAAGAGAGAAACAAGTTACATATCACATATGAATTTCCAATCCGCTCTAATCAAGAACAATGGAATGTCCACAAAGTCCAGAGAATCCGAAACCGACTTGGCCATGCGACATGGGCATTTTCTTGAAGCATGCCCCAAGAACTATTATCTTGAAATTTCAATCTAATATTTACTAGTTTCTTTGTTGTAATTTTTCTTCTTATGGGAAAAACTTGAGGAAATATTGAGGATTGCTAAATTGTACTCGCGGAATAGAGGTTTTGGCTAATTCCAAGTTGTTTCACATTGGATGGGATTCCCGGTATCCAATCCACATTACCAACATGTGAAATGCAGGGGTATCAGTTTATAGATAAGACGAATTTAACTCATCCAAACCCAACCCAATTCAAACTCTTTCAGTTGTTACGACGAAGAATGAACCTGATGTAACAAATATCTTGTTTGAAAATAGTTGTATCTTGAGCTAAAATTAAAACAAATATAATACAGGTTCAGCTAGGTTATATTATGGTTACCAATCAGGAGTCAATCTCAAACTCCAATGCATCATGGGCAATTGATCAAGTCCCACTGAAAATTAATATCTAAACCATTTGCATCTTAATTCTTTATTAGGCAGGGAAAAAAAAATCGAATGACTTGCAGATATTGATTCACACAGATCAGCCACCACTTAAAAGGTAAGGGCAAAACTGCAAAATATCGTGTTGTTCCAGTAAAAGGATTGGGGCTTTCTTCTTCAACTATTCTTCAGATGACCCTATGGTGCATTGTGCACAGAGAGAATGAAAACAAGATAAGTGCTTGATGTATAAAATTATCCAAAAAAAAAAGAGGATGGGCATTCCAGGAGACGGTGTTGCACAAGTGTCCACTTCAAGCCATTAAAATTTTTCATTTTACAAGAGAAAACCCTGACCATGGTTACCACAATTCACTAAACCTTTAACAACCCACGATCTGGGTACATTAATCCCTAACGAGGTGAGTTCGCGATCCATATCACTAAAATGGACGATCCCAAATTGTAATACTAAAACTAACTCAATTCGCTTTAGAACATGTCACACAAATATAAAAAACATATTAATTGACTACATGTATATAGATTTATAATTATATATTGTTTTAGATAATAAAAAATAAAACACAACTATAAGATAAATGGTAACTAACCTAGTGTTTATAAATGTTCTGTAATATATAATGTTGTATGGCAGTGAAAACGATCTATATAAGAGTTCCAAAATAAATTATAACCCAAAATACCGTACCAACTAAACCTACCCCTATCGTACCACATACCTAAAAAAGTATCGTACATTATACCTGTACCCGTACCCATACCAAATACCAAAGCGAACCACAATCCAGATAACATTGATAACTAAAAGTGACTCATAATACAAATGATTCAACCTTATTCCACTTGTGATTTGAAGTTATAATATCTTTTAATGTGGTTTGTTACTAGTTTTATTATGAATTTTTTAAAATGAATTAAGGTCAAATTTATTATTCAAAAAGAGTGGGGATGAACAACAAAACGAAGGAGGAAAACGAAGGAAAAGCAACATGAAGAGAGACTGATTAGCTAATAATATTATAGCATTACTAAAGTTTAATTCGATCTCCCTCCCCCCTCCCCCCCAAAAAAAAAAAGAAAAATTTCAACGAATCACTTAAATTTTAGGGCACGACAGCAAATACAACTTCAAGAATTGCGTTTTTATTATAAACTTCATGCCAAATGTGCCCTCTAACTGCAATACGTCTAGCCGTAGAGAATAGTTTCTTATTGTTTGCCAAAATTCTCCAACTTCAGTAATGCAATTTATAATGGATTTAAAAACATATGCACACCTACATGGAGGAGCCATGTACGTGTTCCATCGCTGTTATGACCATATTCATAAGAACTATAACAAAAACATAAAATCATTATTTCAAACACTTGTCTCAGTCTCTTTGACCTTTTGCTTGCATTATTTATCTATAAAAAACAAGCAATTACTAAATAGTAAGATTAAGTAGACAAAAAATCTATGTTGCAGTGTCAAAAATAAGTTTTAATTATCATATGACGATAGTTAGTTTTGCCTATGCAATTGCGTATAACTTGTAAACTTTAATACGTATAGCTAAAAACACTAATTCTCGTATTGCAGCGCAACCTTGTCATGTTAGTGTCCTACTTTTATATGATTCCCTGCATCAGCATGTATGTGTCCGATGTCAGTATCAGTAACAGTGCTCCGTAGACTCTGGACATACCTACCTCACTAAGATATTTATCATAATGAGATGCATGTATCCATCATAAGTTGTAATTTGAACCTTAAGAACATAAATACTCATTGGCTTCCCACAAAATAAGTTAAAAAAGTAAGACTTTCACCTCAGAGCATCTGCATATGATGTATCTACTAGTGACTAATCTCTTCATTTTCTATCCTATCTGCATTTCCGTCCATGTTTCCCCAATAACTTCTATCTCATAATTTTCAGCTCATTCTACATGGTTATTTCTGAAAAGAATTTTTCAGGAAAAACTAGACTAAATATCGAGGAGAAAAAAATGCTCCCTAGCATTTTTTGGTTACCTACAATTTGGTTGGTATTGCATGAGATCTTGTATTACATCAGGAACAAATGGAGCTCAAGGTTGGTCAGTTTACAGCCAACCTGAATTTGACCCATCCAAACCCACCAAATTCCAACTTTAGCCGACTTTATCAAGAGAGTTCCAGTACCATAAATTATGTTATTCAGTTATCAACCATTTTGATTCATAACTACATTTTTAACACATTTACATGAAGCGGTCATAAGAGTGCAAATCATAATTTTAAGTTCAGTGCTAGTCCTGGTCGCAGTGTAAGAGTATCACAAGGATTGGATGCTTCAAAATGAAAATAGATTATTGAAACCATTTTATATTAATTTAATAACTGTAATGGAAAACAAATCAAATAATAAATGGCCCTTGAATTAACACATTAGTCATGGGAATGGAGGCACAAGTGCTAAAACTGAAACACAAATGGTACCATTCTAACACGAGTATTGAGTCTTTCTTCTTCATAAATTACTCATAGAAGCCTAGATGGTTTGTGAAAACGAAAAAATCGTAGTGACAATATATTTATAGATATATATAGAATGACCAATATTTTACCGGAGAGTTGGTAGGGGTTGGAAGCATCTTTCTATATCCAACCCAGTGTTGTGAAAAGCTCGTCCAGGCGTCACCTAGCGAGGCGAGGCCAAGGTCTCTCGCCTTGAGCACCCCAGGCGAAGTGAATATAGCTGAGGCGAGGAAAAAGCGAGAAAACCGACGCCTCTGTTAAGTTTTTTAAGTTGTTTTATTTTTTTATTATAAATCGTTGGATTATTTTATTTTTGTTATGGACCGTTGGATTGTGGCAATTGGAACAAAATTATGAGATACTCATACATCCAATTGCCCCCTTATCCCAATATATACAAACCCAAACCCTAAATTTGCGATAGAAACTACTAGTTGCTTGGTCGTTGTTGTTACTGCTCCTTCCTGAAGAAGTTCCGACAGGTTTGCCCCCTGGCCTCTCTTCTTCTTCTCTTTTCTGTTTCTTTGCTTCTTCTCATTTTCTCTTCTTGATTCTTCTTCTTCTTCTGTGACAAAAAGTTATTTTGTTATTGCTTCTGTCTTCTTCTTCAGCAGAATCCCAGATATTTTTCTTTTCTCTCCTTTTTTTCTTCTTTTCATCTTCTATTTTTTTTTTAATTCTTCTCTATTTCGCTTCTTCTATAGAAAATACAGCCTAGTTCTAGCTGCTTCTACAGTGCTACTGCTACTTCTGTTTTTTCTTCGAATACTAAGGTATGTGATTTCCTTCTGCTTCTATGCCATTTTCCGCCTTCTTCTTCGGCAGCTAGTATGTTCTTTGCTTATGGTTCTACTGCTTCTACAGTTCTGCTCCTTCTACAGTTCTAATGTTGATTTTGCACTGCTTATTCTGATTCTGCTTCTAATTTTATGTTGCTTGAATCGCGTGTCTTACGTTTTTAAATATTAGAATTTAAGATATTAGAACTTGGATATATAGAAGTAATTAAACTAAAATATTTACTTATTTTCTTTACTGTTCATTTCGCTTTGATGAAGCGTTTTGCTTCGCCTCTCGCTTCTCGGCTAGACCTCAGGAGCCTTAGTCGCTTCGGTTCACTTTACGCCTTAAATAACACTGATCCAACCCCTAAATGCTGACGAGAACACATTTTTCCACCTTATTTTTCCATTTTTCAAAATTAATCTTTTAGTAATGAACATTCAACGGCTGCAATCAGCTTCACTACGGGTTTTAACTATAATTAAGTCTACAAAGTAGGAATTAACTTTACTTTAACTATTGATATAACTAGGAATGCAGTCAAAGGTGAGATAACTCAAGAACATTATCTTTATTTTCCTGCCTAGAAGTGCAAGTAAAATTGATTGAAAAAACACACATCGATGATCCAATTATGTACAAATAGAAAAAATTTCCTTCTAAATGAAAGATTTAGCCTAATATCATGTCCCACCTCTAACCGAGAAATGCAATTCTTGTATTCGAGCAATCTTGAGCTTAAATTCGTCAGTTTTAGCTCTTAAAAGTGTGAATTCAATAAAAAGAGTTCGTAGTTTCAAATTAACATATAACAGCATGTAAATATGTCAGACTCACAAGGTACAACAGGCGGCATCATTATGAGCATTTATGGTTGTTAAGGTGGGTCTGTGAAGTTGCTTCTTTCTGCAGTATCTGCCTATAAAGTCAGTGCCTAGAAGTATCAGCTAAATCTTGATAAATTACCCATGCTGTATTTACTTTTGACGAAGCCAACTTGCAGAATACTATTTAACACAAATTAAGAAAGCTAAACACCTTACCTAAATTTTTTTTCCTTTGGAACATATTAAGTGAATTTACACACAATTAAAACTTTTTCTTTTTTCCTTTCTCATAAACATTATTTTTATTTAAGTTCCTTGGATCAGGTTTTGCAGAAATTTGTAGCAAAATAACTAAACTGAACAAATGAAACATATCCAACTATTAGGGGGGTAAATAGTTAAGAAAGCCATCCCATACCTTTCTGAAATAGACTCATTCATGCTTTTCTTCACAGAGATTGCATCAGCTGAAGACTGAGATTGGGCACTCACAAAATCATCAGACATAGGCAAAATAAATGATGACAATAATGGGTCAGCTGCCACATTGGTTGAAGGAACTACATAGGAAGACCCTCCAAAAAGGGACTGCAGATTTCCTTCTCGCAGTTCCCTCCTCAACAACGATAGTGTTGAATTGGACCCACCTTTTCGGGATTTCCTCTTCCGCTGCATGTAGCCTCTTGTTAAGGAATTCAATGGCAGTCGAAAAATTCTCAAACGGGTCAAATTACACTTTACAGATGGCAAAAAATGATCATTGTGCGAAATACGAAAATTACTGGACAGTAAACCTTGCAAGGAAGTGGACTGTTTACCAAACAAGTTTTCTCTTTCTGTTTTTATATTTTTTCCACAACAAGAAATGCAACCAAACAAGATTTATGATTTTGTTTTTTTACCCAAAAAAAAAAACCGTTTCTGTTTTCAATTTTTTAAAAAACCATAAACATTTCCAAACAACACCTTAAGAAAAGCACATGAAAGCATTCAAATCCCCAAAATTATGACACTTTGCCACCGTAGAAAGGATATCTTGAAAATATTTCCATGATGCAGTGTTATATGGGCAACCATGTCGACCCCCACCCTCACTGCGCAAACTGGACATTCCTGCAACGAATGGCCTCATTTTGTCAAATAAACCTTACTACAATTAAGTCACTCTTTAGCAAGGATCAAAATTTCATTTCGGCGCATTGTTTTGGTCACTTAGGAAATAGAAACGTTTCGACATGTTTCGGAAACGTTTTGAAAACAGAATGAAAAAAAATAAAAAATTTAAGAATTTTTTTTTCAAAATATTGGTCGAAATCTACCAAAATATCGTTAAAATATTTTGAAATAATTGTGCAAATGCATTGAAATATAACAAAACATTTCAAAACATTATGAAACTCCTTGAAGTTTTAGAATTTCGATTCCATCACTAATTTGTTTCGATCTCCTTGAAAACGGAAACGTTTCGTATATTTCGACCATTTCGAAATGATATTTTGATCCTTACTCTTTAGCAAACCAAAATCAAGATTCAACTGGTGAAGAGAATCCAGAAGCATCCTATAACCCTGTATCAGCTTCTAAACATACGCATTTCAATTCAAACCAATGTAAACATACATTCAAAATCCATCATTGACATCACAAGCTTTTGGACATAGCCTCATCTCTTAATAGAAACAAAAAAATTAAAAATATTTCCTTATCCCTCCCAACAATCAGCAACAGGGCAAACTAATACATATGTTAAACTTGGGGAATGAAAAACTATTGATGAAACTAGCTAAGCACCAACCACAAAAGTTTCCCCTAACCAACAAACAAACCACAAAACTTGTTCTTCTGATGCATTCAAAGAAGATCCAAAACACAGAGAAAGATTCTAATATTCATGTGAATGATCTGAAATTAGACCACTTTACCATTAGATGTGAAAAAAGAAAAAATCATATTATTGGAAATGTAATAATTAATACCCCATTCTTCGCCTCTATGGGATGCTCGTCATCGATATGACAACATAATCCAACGATATCAAAGTACTCGGAACAGAATGGGCATGGAAACTCTTCCCTTATATCGTCATCTGCATCAAGTTCTTCAAACGCCATTAACATATCTGCATCAAAACCATCCGATTCCCACTCATAACCTAATATTCACATGTACAAAGACATAAAAATAAAATTGCAAACAACAAACCCTAGATGAAAGAACTTCCGGGCTTACTAGATCGAGATTGAAGAGCCGATTGATATCGCTTTGAAGCAGAAGAGAGACGAGCGCTCCACGAATCGGCGTCCATGGCTTTGCTTTACGTGAAATTTACAAGAGATGCTTTGAAATTCAAGCCCCCCGTACGACAGCCAATCAATCAACCAGAGTTTCAAAAGATTAGCTTTCTTGTCTGATCTTTGATACCAAGATTAGGAACCCTACAAATGCTAAGAGAGAAAGATAAAAGATAGGTCGGGTTTGTGTATTGCAAAGAGTGAGTGAGGTTGTGTGTGTGTGAGAGAAAGTGAGAGAGGAAATGAGATAGAAAGCGCGTTGCAGCCTTGCAGGTAATAAATCACCGAGAGAAATAGGAAAATTGACTTCCGTACAATTTTTAATGTTTGGATAAAATTCAAGCCGCCACTTAATTTTGTCAAAAAGACGTACTAGTACCCATGTTCTATGAAAAATGACACGAAAACTCGATAGGTGTCAATAACTACGAAGTTCAACCATCCTAGCAAATTTATCCCTAAATAAGTTAAATTTAAAACGATGAGAGAAATTAGGTAAGTTTTTAAATATTTTTTAATTAAAAAAATATTATCATTAAATTCGGGTGGCCGAGAAACTTTAGGATAAATGATATGAGCAATATTTAAAAGTTTGGAGGTGTTTCGGGGTTTGAATAGGAAGAAATTTGACATTACTTTAATATTTTTGTCATAACTTTTTTCCCTAATATCTAATTAATCTTATTCTTACAGCATTTGAAAGTTGACTGAGCTAGAAAGTGTTTTTCATATTTCTTTTTTTTTTTATGAATAGGCCTCTAACTAATTCAAAATCAAGCTAAAAGTCTAGAACAGAAAGTCACCAGTGTCCAGATAGTTTTGCAGACGTCTAGACGCGATCAAAAAAATAAAATTGTGCTTTGATTGGAATAAAAGAGAAATAATAAGCACCGTTCAGATGTCTTCCCTAACCATCCAAATGCCTTAGTAAAGCAGACTCAATCAACTATTAGGGTTTTCTCCATTTCTTGACTCTATAAACACATAAGGACTTGTTTTGAGGTCATTTTACCTATTTTTCAACCCTAAAAAACATAGGAGAGTTTTGACATAAGGAATAGGGGAGAAAATGGCTAGATCTTGAAGGATTAACATGTGGTAATTGCATCAATATACGTTAGGATCTACTATTTATGGATTAAGATAGGAGTTATTTCTCATTCTTATTATTGAGGATTAGGGTTAAGTAATATAACTTTTTGATTCCGATTCTAATATATATGATATATCTATAATGATTTCACATTCTTGGCAATTACATGATTTGTTCCTTGAAAATTTACATAATTTACATTCAAATTGTATAATTTCTATCCAAAAAACCTTGTGATACAGCTTTAGAATTGACCACCTAAGTGTATATTGTGGGAAGTAATGAATAGTTAGGTGTCCGAAGTCGAACCAAAGAGAATTGGTGTAAACATGGAGCACATGAACAATAAAAAAAGATAAATTGTTTCAAATGCTTTGATTGAATTGGTTTTGAAAAAACAATGAAATTTTGGTTTAAAACAATAATTGGATACTAAAGCAACAAGGATTCCCTTGCTACTCTGCACAATATTTATTCCTAATTCAATTTTTAAGCTCAATTAAGAATCAGATGAGGAGTGATCTTAATCAGAAGATTTAGTGGTGATAATATTAAAAATAAATCCAGAAATATAATAGATAAATTCTTTTGGATAGAAATTAGTATTTAATTGTAGATCACAAACATTCACTATGTTCGAAGTCGACGATGAATCAAGATCTCCAATAAAGGAAATCTTTTTTATATCATAAAAAAGAAATCAATTATTTTTCATATATATTCTAATTAATTGATCTAACCATCCAAAATCGATTATTTGACTCGTAGGGAATCTCAAGCATTTGATGTACGTGGCACAACAAATCAAGAGATTTTACAAAACAAAAACTTTACTAAAATATTATAATCAATTAATAAGAAAAATCATGCATTAAAGATTAATAGATCAAATATAAATCTCATACTTCATTAAAAGATTTACCCCTACCTTTAGTTGAGGATTTAATAACTGATAGACAAAAAAAATAAAGAAAGATGTAAAAGATGAGATCTAAAATTTTCTCCTCTAAAAAAAGAAAGAACCTATATATATATACTAGGGTGGCTAGGGTTGGCTTTGGAATAAGTACTTGCCAAATATGAGTCTTTTTAGGTCAAAATTCGTGCATCAAATCATGGAGGTGCGGACGTATTTGTCCAAACTTTAATTTCAATTTTCGCATAGTTAAAGGCCGATTCATTCGATTTTCATGAAATACACTTTTCATAACTCTTGAAGTCTTCTTTTTCAATGCCGTAAAATTTAGGTCAACTGGACATTGGATAAAAAATTATGACCAAAATATTGAAGACATGTCAAAATTTTATCTTCTGCAGTACTCTAATAATTCAACTCTAAATGAGTTTTTTTAATAATTTAGACTCTCATAAGGATTAAATTGATGTCGTATCTTTAAATCTTCATATTTTAATCTAGACCCTTCAATCCTTATCAAATATCCAATTCTCAACTATGACCCTTTTTTTGTTTGTTTCACTTACATTGTCTATTATTACTTTAAATCAACTAAATTACATGCAAAATAAATCAAAAAATTTTAAAAAGTATCAAACTAGAGAATCAATGAATCTAATACATTTAATCACAAATAATATAAAATTAACTAAATATTAAATATAATAAAATAACATTTTTTATGGTTAATAACCTAGCTCTTAAATAGTATCAAATTGAGAATGTTTCTTGGCGATCTCTCGTATGTTTTAATTGAAGTATTCTTCTATTTTGAGAATTGTGGAAATATAAGTTGTGGTATACATGAATTTTAGTGGAGTTGAACATAGGTTGTATGGGCGGGTGTGATGAACATAGGTTGTACTCGGACGTATATCGCACACTGCTTACATGAGTTTCTTACTTTGAAGGATTTGAAGGTTTCTTGTCATCCATAGTGGAGTTGCTTGGTTCCTTACGAAGTTCCAAGAATTCATACTACTCGCTCATGAGAATCGAGAATGGGGTCTAGTATACTATCCATGAAAAAATTCCATCAATAATGATGCAATAGTATACACGCTTCTTAAAATGGTGTATCCTTGTGAGGATTGACTATATGATTGTGTGCATATGTGTGTGGACCAGGTATATTTGGTGTTTAGATTCACGCTAGTCAACTTGCATAAATAATATATATTTGTTATAATTATCTATTATTGTGAGAATTAGTTCCACTATTTTATGGATTTTTCTACTTATACATCAAAACTTGAGATCTTTATTACATATCAAATTCTTTACTTCGAAATTTATATACTTATTTTGTAACTTGAGACCAACCTATTTTTATACATTTTGTTAACCTTGTTTAGGTTTAGGAAAGTTTTCCTACTAAGCTAGTTGCGCTCACTCCTTCATCTAACATTTTCTCATATTTTGGTATCAAAGCAATACAACTTTAGGTGAGCATGTGGATTTGGATTTGGACTTGGACTTTGACTCAGATCATGAGGTGGATCTGACTTTGAAAGCCTAAGAAATTATTGATCGATCTTAGTTTAAAAGGTGGATGATTGAAACAATGTTTATTATTTCTTTTTAGTTTATTAGAAATAATGGTTTTATTTAAGGTTTGGTAGGTAATCTTTTAAGGTTAAATTTTGCTTGTTTTGGAATTGTTGGTTTAGATGAAGAATGTTGGTGAATGAAATGGTTTAATTTATGGTATTTTAGTTATAGTCTCATACTTTGATGGATAATAATTAGTTCAAGTCTATTTGTGAAAATTGGAGCATGACATTACTATTTGAATATGATTGTGATATAAACTTAGCATTTATCTAATTTGTTCTTGGTCAAAGTATATCTCTAGAAAAGGAGGAAATATGTCCCCCCATTAATTCAAGGCTACATAAAAATAAAAAGTCTCTTAAACAAAAACCAATGTTTCTCTCTCAACTGAATATCTCCATTGCGAGGTTAGCGGTAGGCCTATTCGTCATTGTTGGACCTTAAGGTCGCGGGTTTGAACCTTGTCACCTCCTTTCCCTGTGATAGTGCATGGAATAAAAAAAGAGTATCTCTATCGCATCCCTTTGATCAACCCACATTGCCCTCAACACTTCTGCTCGATTCCCAAACTGCTCAATAAGACCACTCTTTAATAGACTATGACAACAACAATCCCCACTTATAAATCTCTGTCTATCATTATGTTGTTTCCACCTTTTCTTCTTTTTTCCTTGAGGAAGTATAATTTGATTGTCTCTGACAAGATTATACTTGTGGAACTACAGAAGCACGACCTAGAGGGGGATGAATAGTGTTGGAACGACAGTCCCAAAATCCGTTTAATTGAATACAAAAATTTTATTCGTCTATTAAACCTACAAGGTGGAATTAGGGTTGAACTTTGATGAGAAAATCCACACGAATGAAGAACAGATGAAGATCAAACAACAAGCTCGATAGACTTCACGATCTTCTACTGTATATCCTTCCACACCAAAATTTAAATGCAATGTGGATTGCAATTCTCCAAATTTTCAACATTTTTTCTCTATCTGTTTCTTCTAAACATGAAGGTAACAGTTATGACTAGAGAATCAAGGAATGCATTTATTTATAGGCTATAGTAGAGACCCTAAGGAGAAAAAATACAAGACTTCTAATGGACCTAGGAAATCTATGTCCAACCCAGAACAAATATATTATGATTCATTAATAATAAGTTAGTCCACGAGAAACTTAATATTAATCTCCCGTGCCTTATATCAAAATTATATTTAGAGCTCCTTATTATTATATGCTTAATAATCTCTTCATATTTAAGATTATAAATGTTTGTCAATTAATTAAGTCACTGACAATTATATTTAATTAATTTCTTTTAATCATGAGATCTTACCACTCAACTTATTTGTCATGTTGGATAATTAAATCCACTTGCAGGGTTTGACATGGATAAAATTTATGAGATTTTT